GGATGGAGGCGAGGCCGAGCCCGCTCCCCTTCCCCATCGCGGCGGGCGGCGACGGCGCGCTCGCGGCCGCGGCCGCGCCGCTGCCGTGGCGGAGGGAGGCGCCTCCCCCGTCGCCAGGCCGAGCATCGCATTCTCCAGCATCGCCTCTGCGGCCGACTTTGGCGGCGCCGCAGGCTGGGTCGCCGCCGCAGAGTCGAAGTCGCCAAAGTCCGCCCCAAAACTGTCGCCGCCGGCGGCAGGGGGCGCGGCGAGCCCGGCGGGCGCCGGCCCGTCCAGGCCGAAGAGGTCGCCTCCGCCCAGCGCGCCGGGCGGCGGAGCGGCGGGCGGGGCACCCGCCGGCGGCCCGTCCATGAGGCCAAATAGGTCGCCGCCGCCGGCGCCGCCGCCTGCGGCGGCGGCCGCGGCGGCCGCGGCGGGCGTGGGGAGCTTGCCGAGGCTGATGCCGCCGCCGCCGGCGGCGTGGCGTGGCCGCTCCCGCCCCTCGCGGTTGATGTTGACCTTGATCGAGCCAATGTTGGCCGAGAGGCCGCTCGCAGCCGTCGGCGCGCCCGCTGGCGCGGGCACGGGCGCGGGCGCGGGCGCGTCGACGTCGAAGAGGTTGACGTTGGAGGGCGCCGGCGCGGGGTCGTTCGACTTGAGCGCGTCGAAGGCGGCGCCGAAGCCGTCGTCCGGCGCCCACTCCTCCCGCTTGGGAGCCTCGTCTCGCTTGGCAGGCTTGTCGGAGGACGAGATGCCGACAAACTTGCCCGCGACCGAGTCGGCCGACTCGCGCCGCTTCTTCTGCAGGTTGGAGCTGTTGTCGAGCAGCTCGATGATGTCGTTCGCCTTGGCCTGCACCTTGCCTGCCTCGTTGAAGTCGGTGCTTGAGAAGGACTGGAGCACCTGCGGCGGCAGCACGGGCAGCAGCGGTGCGGGCGGCACAGGGGAGCAGCGAGGGAGAGGAGGAGAGGAGAGGCCTGTCTTCAAAACCTCGGCTACACCTCGGCTACATCCCGGCTGTATCTCGGAGGGCGAGGGCGCCTTGATGTCGGTCTTCATGTCGATCGTCTCTTCGAGCGCGCGGTCGGGCCCGTGCAGCAGCGTCGACTCGAGGAGCAGCAGCGTCTTGAGCATCACACGCGGCCGCTGGTTGGAACGGAGCACGTTCTGCCAGATGGCCGACAAGATGATGCGGTAGTCGTCCTCGCGGTGCGTCGCGCGGCCCAGCTCGTAGAGCAGCGACGAGGACGGCATCTGCTGGTCGTTGGAGAGGCAGTCGGTCAGCTTGCGGTCTAGCTCGTTCGACGGGAAGAGCGTCTGCATCGACTGCAGCTGCTTGCTGGCCGCAGACGCGTACTCGGTCGCGGACGACACCAAGCCGCCCACCAAGCTGGTGAGACCCATCACCGGGTCCGAGCCCGAGGAGCGCCGATCGCGGTCGGCGGCGTACTTGAAGTCCTCGTCCGAGAAGCCCTTGCGCCCCTTGTCGTTGTTCCGGCCGCCGCCACCGCCGCCGCCGCCGCCGCCGCCGCCACCGCCACCGCCGCCGCCACTCATCTCGGCCGCCGACACACCGCCGTACTTGTTGCGCGTCGCCCGCGCCTTGTCGCGCTCCGCGTTGAGCGCCTCCTCTGAGGTGAGCATCTCGACGAGCTGGCGCGCCTTTTGGGGCGGCGGGCGAGGCAAATGAGGGCGGCGGCGGCGAGGGCGGCGGTCGCGTGGGTGGAAGAGTGATGAGGCGCGGGCGAGAAGAGATGCGGCAGTGAGGAGAGAGGCGCCGGCGAGGGCAGCAGCGGCGCAGCAGTCCCGCGAGGGAGGCGCAGAACGAGAGAGGCGAAAGCGAGGAGGGGCGTTGGCGAGAGGCAACAGCGGTGCAGCGTTTCGCCTTTTCGCGCACGTTGACACCCTGGTCCTTTCCGTCGGGGTCAACGTACTCGAACTTTTGGAGCTTTTTGATCTCGCGCAGGTGATCCTTGGCGTCCTCGATCACGCGCTCCGAGCCGTGGCGTAGGATGTAGTCGAGCATGTTTAGCGTCTTGTAGGTGACGCGCCTAGGCGCAAGCGGGCTCCACTGACGGTCGGTGGTGCAGCTCCAATGTCGGGGCCGATGGCAGGGGAAGGCGGCGCACCACAGCGCGCCCT